TCCAGGGCTGTTTTTATATATATATGTATTTATTATTTAACAAAAATATTTGGCTTAGGGTTTCTTCTCTCTCTGGATTACCGTGAACCCGTATTACCGCCGTGGCACTGCGAAATGCATATTTTGAGATTAGGTTCATCTAACTTTAAACAGTGTATGACTATGTAGTACGTATATAACTAGAAAGCCATCAAAGTTTATAACAAAGTCTACAATGCCATGAGCAACGCGGCATAACTTGCAACGAGTTGTATCACGTACTTGCATTTACGATTGTAGAATTGCTACCGAATCTATTATTATGAAATATCAAAAATTTGAAATGATATCATCTTTACCTATACATGTAATAAAATTCTAGCTGGCTATTCTAAAGGCTTAGTTACAATTTAATTATACATATGTGCCTATAGACTACCATTACCCGCGGCTCCGCCCGCGTTCAGATGACCAAAACCCAGTCTTAGGTTTTATATATTAGTATAGGTACTCTTACATTGCAGTTTTTGTAGTTTTTCTCAGAAATGAGATATTTTCCCGCGGTAAAATGAATCCTATATGTTGACCCAGATAACCAGCTATAATCACACTAAATTTATTCAAAATCCCTCTAGTGGTTTTTCTGTGATGGGGTAACAGACAGACACAAAAACTCTAAAAACTATAGATTCGGCCTCTGTATCGATAATAATGTTTATTTCAATAAGATTTTCAAAAAAATATTTAATGTACAGATTCGGCTTAGTTACAATTTTATTATATGTATGTATAGATTATGACAAAAACATATTATCTTCTTTAAAGGAAGTATTTTATTTATTAATACTGTTTCGTGAAGAATATTGAATTCATAGAGTTCACTTAATTGGGGCTAATGCTTTCATAATAAGCTAAAAATGTATTAATGTTATGATAAGATATTTTAAAACAAATTAAAAAGTACAGTTGTTAAAATAAAATAGTTCTATTGTCTGATATTATGATTGAAAAATCATCTCTTTTTATACTAAACAATATATTTATTAGGTTAAAACTTTATTTAGTATCTTATATTTATGTTTTATTTCAATAGCAGGTATACACTTAGACTAAAGATTATATAGACAGAGTCTGCCAAAATAAATGTCAAAGTCAAAAAAAGAGCGTGATTTGCTGTATAATGGTTTTATTCTCGATTTTGCCATACAGGTCATACTTTCTTTAAAGAATAAGGGAAATTATATGATATATATGTACTAGCATTGCCCGCGGCTCCGCCCGCCCGCGTTCAGATGACCAAAAACCTAATTCTTAGGTTTTACATATTAGTATACTCCTACAATGCAGTTTTGTGTGTGTGTTTTTGTATTTTTTCTCAGAAATGAGATGTTTTCCCGCGGTAAAAAGTATAGTCCTATATGTTGACCCGGATAACCAGCTATCACCATACCAAATTTCATCAAAATCTGTCCAGCGGTTTTCTCGTGATGCGGTAACAGACAGACAGATAAAAAGACAGACAGACAGACAAAAATTCTAAAAACTATAGATTCGAACTCTGTATCGATAATAATGTATATTTCAATTAGATTTCCCAAAAAATAGTTAATGTACAGATTTGACTTAGAATTTTATTATATGTATAGATTTATGAAATATGTTGGGACATTAATACACACCACCATCAGTTCCATGGTAAGCTAAGAGGCCTGTGTTATGGATACCAGATAGTTGATACACTACATATATATAATTTTAAATACATACATATTATAAATATACACACCCATGACTGGAGTACAAACATTTGTGCTCATCACACAAATGAATGCCCCCAGCGGGACTCGAACCCGCGACCGCTGGCACAGCAAGTAGGGTTACTACAAGCTGAGCCAAACGTGTCGTCAAATATATATAAATGAATATACATTTTTTTTAGATAAAATATGAATAATAAAAATATTACTATATTCTTTTGTAGTTTTCAAGCATTATTTCTCGTCTCTTAGTACAATTAATACATTTGTCATTTGATATTATTTTAACATATTATTGTGTGGCTTCTTGTTCAGGTCTATGAAGTGTCTATCACTCAGTCAATTCTTATTTAAATAACTAGCGGCTCACCCTCGCTCCGCTCGAGTACGTCCCTATTTATGTTTTAATGTTTAGTATAGATTTCTCAGAGATGTGATATTTTCCCGCAGTAAAAAGTGTCCTATATGTTGACCCGGATAACCAGCTATCATCATACCAAATTTCATCAAAATCCCTCAAGTGGTTTTTCCGTGATGAGGTAACAGACAGACAAACAGACAGACTCAAAAATTCTAAAAACTATAGATCAGCCTCTGTATCGATAATAATATCTATTTCAATAAGATTTTCCACAAAATATTTAATATATAGATTCGGTTTAGTTAAAATTTTATTATATTTACATACATAGGTGTATCTTAAATTGAGACATCAATAAAAAGGGTAAATGTACTAAAATGTACATAATACAAAGAACGTGGCTACAAAAGGACCCGCTTAATCAATTTCGCTACCCATACTGGTTTCCAAGAATGATTGCAATGTAAAAGTTACGTTCTACTCATGTCAAGTAGATAGAAGCTCTTTAATGGTATTAAGTAAAAAATTTCGCGAAGACAAATTTAATTATTTTGAAATACGTATGTAATTTAATATAAAAACTATAGCTTATGGGTCAAGAATTGTTGTTTACTGTTTATTAAAGATTTATCGGATTTTATTTTCATAGATATATTAAAATAATTCAATGTTTAGTTCATATAATAAGAGAATAAACTTCTTAGACAAAACGTAAATGATGCATTCAAATATGAGGAATTCGTTATAGAATGGAGAATTGAATTACTGGTAGACGCAATGCCTTTGTAAACTTGAATCTTAAGACAGAACCAAGAGATAAAATATTTGAAAATGTAGTATATAAATTTACTAATTATATTTATTTATATGTAAGTTTTTATATTATAAATTATCTTTCATCGATATTTTGAATCAGTCTTGTTGCAGTTACTTTTATCATTTCGTTTCAAGTCTTCTACTTTAAACTTAGCTTTTTAGCTATCGATTTATGCATTCAAAAGCTTACAATAATTTGAAATAATTATTCTCCATATTTATGTTATATATGATCAGATTTTTTTTGGATTTTTCTTGTTTTTAGGGTACCCGTAGGGTGCCAACGTTAATTAATATCTAAATATTTGTATATAACTTAGGTAATACATATGTACCTACCTATTTACATCAATGAATAGCCATTTACCTATGCCATAATCCTTGAGAAAATCTCGACAGCTATTTGATTCAAGGTGATTTAGTACGTGTTCTTATTATTATTTTTCTACTAACGAATAATATTCTATTTAATTTCAATACTATTCTGGGTTTATGCGACAAATATTTAAAGTTTAAATAAACGGGTTCAAGAACCCTTCACAGGAACATATTGTAATGAAGTGTATTATAGTGGAAGATTAGATAGGTAGATATCTTATGGAACAACAAAAGCAATGTGTATATTTAAAGATTTTTAAAGCATCACTTTTTATGTCGTTCGTTGTTTCTGGAAACTTTGTAAAGGAAATGGTTGAATAGAAAGAGAAATAAATGCTCAAGATTTTTATTTTATAAAGTAACAAACATTTAATTATGTATATTTAACGAATTTGTTGTATATATTTGTTCAATCTTCAATACGTAATCAAGCTTCGCTTAGCTCATACCCTAAGTACGCTTTGTAAATCCGTGCAACAACTTTTCACGATAGATGATGTACTTGAGCGAAGCGAGGTTTAGACTTGTAGATATCGTACAGTTAATTCCATATTCATAAATTGCGATTATGACGATGTAATTAATTATCAAGTCTGCTTATAATTATTCCACTTAATCTCTTATCTATGTACGAGTATATCGTAGACTATTCGATAGACCTTTAGAATAATAAAATCAAATATTTAACCCACGGGAATCATACATTTTCCGGGATAAAAAGTAACCTATATGCTATAATTCTAGACTATGTATATATACTAACTCTATTCCAAACATCCAGATCAGTTCAGCCATTCTGGCGTAATTGAGTAACAAACATCCATGCATCCATTCAAACTTCCGCATTTATAATAGTATTAAGATTACTTGTTATGATACAAAAAAAAATATATAGGTACATATATTAATGTGGCATACCAAGGTTAAAAGTTAAAGTTATATATTATAAAAAAAATCTTCCATAGTATTATGACACTCCTTACTATTACATCTTTTTTTCGCTGAAGAAAACATCATGCGGGGGTCTGCTTCTGGTATTTCCCCGATAGCAGGTTATCTTACAAAAAATAGTCTGTAGTCTGTCTAGCGTACACGTCATACACTAACACATACAAACTTTTGCATAATAGTGCTATTTATTGAAGGTCACAGGCAGCTCACTCTCGCTTCGCTCGGGTTCGTCGCTAGGTACATTTGAACGCTTAGTATGGAATAGATACACTATAACAATATACATATGTAGGTATGATGAGTTTTATTTTAAAAAACTTGAACTGATTGATTCCCCACATAAATTTCCTCCATTTTCACTCCCTTAATGGGATGATTTCCGGGATAAAAACTATCCTGTGTCCTTACTCGGGATATAATCTATCTCCTTGCCAAATTTCATTACGATCCGTTCGGCCGTTTCATCGTGAAAGGTAACTAAATAACAAACAAACAAACAAACAAACAAACAAACAAACAAACAGAGTTACTTTCGCATTTACGAGTATACACATAAAAAAACCATGCAAGAGAAACCGCGGACATATTATCTATATTCTATAACATTATAAAAGTACTACGAGTACTTTTTACGGATGTCATCCTACGTCTATAAAATGGTATCAAAAAACCATATCTTATCAGTAGGTATAAAAAAATGTAGAAAACCAAATTTTTTTAAGTTTTTTTTTTAATTTTTACTTTTTTTAGTAAAATAAATGAAGTAAGGTTTTAAATATTGGGTGTCAAAATGAAAAGTAGCAGTCTATTCCAGTCCATCTGAGATCTTGAGATTCCGATCGAGAATGATGTGTGATTCAATAGACAAATAAAGATAATAAAAAAAAATAACTTTGATCTATAATAATAGCTAAGTATGTAGCAGTTCGTAAGATTATGAATTATTCTAACCGGACTGGTTGTTCTAAAGATTAGCGTGTTCAAACAAACAGTCTCTGTAGCTTCATTATAGGTATTAGCACGGTAATGTTATCATTACCGTGGTATTAGTATCTATAGATAAATATACTTTTCATCATATACAGATAAATAAAATTGAAGTGTCTGTTTGTAATGTCAAAATAAAATAATTATAAAAAAATAAATGTGCAATTCACACATCGTAGAAGTGAAACTTCAGAAAATGATATGAATATAGAGTATCAGGAGTAGGATAATCATAAGGATTTTTTTATATTATTTTTACCAAGTTTAAAAGTTATTTTACATTTTGTTTGACATAAATATAAACATTACATAATAATCAGTAATGAATTTTATTATTTTTCACTTCCTTTGTAATGTATTCTATCAAATAACAACGGTTACCATGACAACGGTTACCATGGCATCATCGCAATGTATTCTATCTCATTCTATCGCCGGCTTAATCCTATATATTTATATGTATGTCTCTTTTTACTGTCGCATTTCCGTTGCATCGAGTTTCAAATCACAACGATTCTAAAGAAGTTTCACTTCAAAAACCGTTTTAAAAAGAACCTTTTTATTTAAATGCTCCTAAAATTAACTAAATAAACTTTCTATTTTATAAAAAAAAACATAATTTTTAACATTCTGATTCTTGTTTATCTGCACATTTAAATCTCGCGACAAGCAATCAATTGTCTGTAATGTAATAAATTGAAGGGAATTTTTCGGGACTTTTACAGCAGATAGCTGATGTTTAAGGTGTAACTTGGTTACTTTTATTGTAGAAAAAGAATTAAGGTTCTGCTCAAAAAATTAAAATGTATCTAAGAATGCACCCGAACGAAGCGAAAGTAAGACGCTACTACGCTAGTCCATACTAATATTATACGCGTGGAAGTGTTTGTTTGTTTGTCCTTTTTTCACGTCGAAACGGAGTGACCGATTAGCGTGTTTTTTTGTGTGGAGATAATTGGAGGGCTGGAGAGTGACATTGGCTACTTTTTATTGCGGGACATTATCTAAGTCGCACGTGAAAACAAGTTGTAATACAATGCAAAAAAATATTTAATAATCAGAATTACTTGAAACTTGGTATTAATGCTCTTCAATAAAATTAAATAAATACTTGTTTTAGCATTTTTCGAAATTCATCATATAAGAGGGTAAAATTGGGAATGAAAGTTTGTATAAAACTACCTTTATAGCGATTTTTTGTAGTTTTAGCGCGAGTGAAGCCGCGGGTTCTGCTAGTACTAAATAAATACATACATATTTATCTTTTACTTCCATTGGCATGACAGAACGAGTTTAAATACATATGGCCCGACGACAGTTATCTCGTACGCTCGTAGAGCAACAGTTGCGATAGCGGCTTAAATATAAGCCGGAAGTCGAAGTGTGAGGAGTGATTGATATATTTTAAGAATAGTTTTATTGCAATTCACAGTAAGTTTTTTAGTTTTTTTTTTTATTATAAATATTATTAGTAATAAAAAATTAAGTAAAATATTTAGAAACCGCACAAAATAATTATAATACCTACAATTAATTTATAATACGTCTATTTTTGTAATCAACTACTGTATCTTATTTATTATACGCTTATACAATATAGATCATAAGTTCAAAATAAGTGTGTTAAGCAATGTATGGTAAATAAACAATAATTCGTTTTAAATTCTAGATGCCTTTGAAACTGTATAAGATGGACATCAGTCCCCCAGTGTGTGGTACTCTGATGGTTATTGACCTTCTTAAAGTGCCCGTTGAATTTGTGGATGTTGATCTGTTAAATAAAGAACACTTGGCACCAGAATATTTAGAGGTCAGTCATTTAACACTACTTTGTTTCACTCTCGCTCTATACAATTTTTCAGTACGCTGCATATATAGTAACAACATAATATAACTATTTTTATTAAATAATAATTTTGTATATTATATAATTTAGTTATTTTTGTAGTACACTGTCGTATTTCTAATGGGTTATATTTAATTTTAATTTTAGCTGTAAATAAATAATATTCCATATTCAGTTATAATACTAATTATAATTATAAAAATGTTTAAATTTAAAAAATATTGTAAAGTACTTTGGTGCAATTTTTCAATTTTTTGAATTTATTTTGTTATTTGTACCCACAAAGGTTGTCTGTAACAACTATTATAATACCTTTGAGAGATCTAACACCTTAGTCTCATCCGTGACCATGATTGCTGTAAAACATTCGAAACGTCGCGTCGGGAACCAAAAATCAAAATAAACCAGCAAAAATATTTTTATTTAAAATATAAGAAAAATAATTAATTTTAATGGGACTGAAGATGTTTAAAACTTATAAATATTAGCTAGATTAATGTATTTCTTTTTTAATTTCAGAAAAATCCAATGCATACAGTACCTTTGTTGGAAGATGGTGATCTGTACATACATGAAAGGTATAACTATAGATACTTTTAATATTTAAACCCTCCACGACCGCGGACACGCCGGCGTGTCAGTTAACAATAGGATTCTTAGAATTTTAAATAATTTCTTAGAAATTTACCTGTAGGTGTTAATAATTTTTTTTTTATTTTTTTTTTATATTTTTACCTTTTCTAGGATATTTTAACTAAACTTATATTTTCCAGCCACACTATTATGGCTTACCTCTGTGACGTATACGGTAAAGATGACTCTCTGTACCCGAAAGATCCAAAACAAAGAGCTCTGGTAGATCAAAAATTATACTTTGATGGTCAATTCTTCATCCGTGCCAGAAATATTAGCGTAAGTATTGTAATTTTATTGTCAATAAAAATCAATATACGACTAAGACCACCTTCATGGTTAAGTGGGGTAGGTCTAGCACAGTCTTTACCACCGTCGGACGCTGGTTCAATCGTGTTGTTCAATTGCGTAAATGTACTGTGTCTATGAAAGATTGAGGTAGTCTCTTTCTGAGCCGCTGAAAGATTCATCGCATTAAATAAACACAGTTGTTACATATTCATGCGAAAAAAAGATATTTGTACTGGAAATATGCACTCGGCCTGCGCTGTTGGAATTTTGTCTTAATAGAACTTTGCAAACCTATAAAGAATAGTTTAAAACTATAGCTTAGTAAAAAAATATTATTTTATATGTAAATTATTGAAATAGACGCTACCTACTAACACACTTTATATGTATATGATTTCAGTACCCAGCAATTTTCGAGGGTGTAAGGAAACCATCAGAAAAAGTTATCAATGCAGTTATTGAATCATATGACTTTTTAGAAGCTTTCCTTTCCAAAACGAAGTTTATTGCCGGTGACAAAATGACTATTGCTGATATCGCTATCCTTTCAACCCTCGGGGCAACTCGTTTTATGGTTCCTGTCGCCAACAAAAAGTACGTACATGAATAATAAATATTATATAACATAAATAACATAATAAGAGCACTGAACAGCCCTTATTTTGCGTATCGGAATGCAAAAAGAAATACATGAAGAAATATCTGCACGATTATTATATATGTAGAATATAGAAGTTTACCAAACGATTGAACTTACATCTGCGAGAACTTGGTTATAACTTAGATGACTGGTATAAAGTAGTTATACCCCAAACCTGAGCATAGATGATACAAATGTGGGTGTCTAGATAGATATCTGCCTCTTCGAAATTCTCAACTGATATCGACTTAAAAGTAACCGGACAATATATATATATATATATATATATATATATATATATATATATATATATATATATATATATATATATATATATATATATATATATGTATATATATATATCTTAATTGAATTGATAACGGATTTTAAGTTTGAACGAATTCCCTCTCTTATTTCTTCTAATTTGTTTCAGGTACACAAAACTCACAGCCTGGTACACAAACATGACGCAGCAGCCATTCTATCAGAAGTATGGAGCGCCAGGAGCAATAGGACTTGCTAATCTCCTTAAAGACAAATTAGATATTTAATTTTTATCATATCACATTATTAATTTAAGAAATGATTACGATAAAATTATAATTATATATTTTGTTATATATATTATATTTTATTTATAAAAATTGACCTAATAACTCGTATATCTAAATTAAACTTACATGTAACAAGGATGTTCCATCTATTGAACATCATAAGTACATACGTTTATAGATACATATCTATATAGTATACCTACAGTAAAAAAATATTTTTATTTTAGCTCTAGTTACAAACTTTCTAAAATTAAACTATAATTTAATACAAATAATTATATTTAAGTAATAAAAATAATATCGTAACAAACAAACAAACAAAGTTCATTGCCATAGGTACATGGAATTCGGTGATTATATTTTAAAATGAAGGTGGTATTCTTGTAACTAACTATAATATGAGTGTCATTATTATCATTAAAAAAATTTAAGGCAAAAATTACGAAGTAAAATTCCTAATAACGAGTAAGTACACATATTTGAAATTAATACTTGTCTACCAGTTTGTTTGAATGCCCATCATTTGAAATCGAGTTAACGAATTATAATAGAATATTTTATCTATCTATACTTATTATAAAAATAAGTCCCCCGGCCGCGTCTTTCTGTCCTCCTGTCTGTCCTCCTGTCTGTCTGTACGCGATAAACTCGAAAACTACTGAACGGATTTTTATACGGTTTTCAACAATAGAAAGAGTAATTCTTGAGGAAGGTTTAGGTATATAATTTATTATGCTTTTATGTAAATTAGCTGAAATACGGCGACAAATGTTGAAGAGGTCGCAAAAAATCTCGCCAAATGGGAACTTTCCACGCGAACGCCGCGTAAACTAGCAAAGATACAGTTAAGTAATGTACTAGAGAATTCAAAATCTATAAAAATGCTACAAAAAAGTCCGCGATAGCATATCTCTATCTCTTACGGTTGACTTACAATAACCACTTTTATGTTAACATTTTTAATTAAAAACATTACGTTATTTTCAAAGTTATTTTCTTTAGTTCGGTATTAATCCTTATCCAAATGAATATTTTAGTTAGCTTAGTCATTTAATGCAGATTAAAATTGCTCTTTACACTAAATCAATCAGATGAATAGTTTTTGAGATATCGTTGTTAGAAGTAATTAGTAGCGAAACATTTTTAATGCTTGGCGAGCATTGAGATGCTTACGGCGAGTCCATCCCCTCTGCCCCGCATCGCTCGACCGCCTGCTCAAGCTATATAAACCGGGCGATGTAGCGCGCGATCCTAGGATACTTTTTACCGCGGGAAAATATCTTATTTCTGAGGAAAAATACAAAAACTGCAATGTAAGAGTATACTAATATGTAACACCTAAGAATTTAGTTTTTGGTCATCTGAACGCGGGCGGAGCCGCGGGCAATGCTAGTACTTATTATAAAAATAAGTCCCCCGGCCGCGTCTTTCTGTCCTCCTGTCTGTCTGTACGCGATAAACTCGAAAACTACTGAACGGATTTTTATACGGTTTTCAACAATAGAAAGAGTAATTCTTGAGGAAGGTTTAGGTATATAATTTATTATGCTTTTATGTAAATTAGCTGAAATACGGCGACAAATGTTGAAGAGGTCGCAAAAAATCTCGCCAAATGGGAACTTTCCACGCGAACGCCGCGTAAACTAGCAAAGATACAGTTAAGTAATGTACTAGAGAATTCAAAATCTATAAAAATGCTACAAAAAAGTCCGCGATAGCATATCTCTATCTCTTACGGTTGACTTACAATAACCACTTTTATATTAACATTTTTAATTAAAAACATTACGTTATTTTCAAAGTTATTTTCTTTAGTTCGGTATTAATCCTTATCCAAATGAATATTTTAGTTAGCTTAGTCATTTAATGCAGATTAAAATTGCTCTTTACACTAAATCAATCAGATGAATAGTTTTTGAGATATCGTTGTTAGAAGTAATTAGTAGCGAAACATTTTTAATGCTTGGCGAGCATTGAGATGCCTACGGCGAGTCCATCCCCTCTGCCCCGCATCGCTCGACCGCCTGCTCAAGCTATATAAACCGGGCGATGTAGCGCGCGATCCTAGGATACTTTTTACCGCGGGAAAATATCTTATTTCTGAGGAAAAATACAAAAACTGCAATGTAAGAGTATACTAATATGTAACACCTAAGAATTTAGTTTTTGGTCATCTGAACGCGGGCGGAGCCGCGGGCAATGCTAGTAATAGAATATTTTACTTTACAAAACTGAATCGCTATCTATCACCGATATTGGATAGCCGACTAAACGTTATGTCAGTCATACATGTATTATACTCGTATGTTACCGCGCTGTGCTCCCCGGTTGACTCTTAGATTTTGTAAGGTTATCTTAGTTAACTTGATAACATAAAAATTACGGACAAGTTCGAGTCGGACTTTCCCACCGAGGGTGCCAGTAGGAAATCTGTTTAACTTTAATTTTCAATATTTTTTGGATTTTTTTCTTTATTTGTGCTGTAGGGCCTTACTTTTTGCCAAATTTCGTGATTCTAGGTCAACGGAAACTACCACATAGGTTTTCGACCCAAAACCTATAGGGTACTTTCGGTTGACCTAGAATTGAAAATTAAGGTAAATTTTGGTACTCACAAGTTTTCGCGAAAATCTAAATTTGCCCATATCTTTTTATCGTGTTGACTCAGGACCTTTATTTTTATATAGCTAGTAGGGACTATAGACCTCAATATCTGGTATAAATTTCAACTTGCTAGGTATACACGTTCCTGAGAAAATCGGTGGTGACACACGGATAAGGGTTCCTTTTTTACCTTTGAGGTACGGAACGCTAAAAATGTTTTATGTTCTCTCGTTTTCGGTTCCATACAGTAGTCAAGTTACAATACTTTATAACGAAATTAAAAATTTAAATATTAAAATTACGATAATTTGTATAAGATTAAAATAAGAAAATGTAGTTTTAATCATAAAGACAATTTTGGTCGCAACTAATTTCGAAATAAGGACACCTAAAAATTTTTTTTTATGATTTAGTCTTTAGTGAACTACCTGGACATATCTAGTATAAATGGGCTACTTCTCTCATTAATTACGTTCAATATTACTTCGTTAAGGATTTTTATTGAGGAAGTTAAATAAACAAATAAGTGAAAAGGATAGATACAAATTAGAATGTCACAGTTAAAGCACCTGTACAGTGTATAGTTCATAGCGTTGCAACGAGATTGGATTCGAGAGGGCCACGTGCCACACTCGTGCAAATACACAAAGGATGAAATTGTGAATAAATCGTGCGATGCGTACTGACCATGATGTATGCTTGGGCAAATTGGATTTATTTCGCGCTTTCCCTTCCTATTGGTAGAAGAACTGTTATTGCATGTATGAACGATGAGACATCACGTATAAAATATTCTATACGAAATACATCATGCATCCAAAGCTTTTGATCATGATTTCAATGCGATAAACCTGTCACAAAGGGTAGCGTTTTTCGTGATTTATGGGAAATATAATACTATGGAAATGTGTATTGTTTACGATTGTATGTACAAATTATGATATATACCTACCTATACATATTACTCGTACACGTTTTGAATTCTTACAATTTGTTATATTTTTAATAAATAACTTTACTCATTCGTACATATGTTTTTATTAACTCCCGACGCAAAAAGAGGCGTGCTATAAGTTTGACGTCGATGTCTGCCTGTGTGTGTGTGTGTCTGTCTGTGGCATCGTAGCTCTCAAACGGATGGACCGATTTCGATGCGTTTTTTCTTTCATTTGAAAGCCAGTTTCCTTGCGGTGGTTCTTAGCTATGTTTGGTTAATATCAAACCAGCAGTGTAAAAGTATCAGCTCTTTTCCAAAATGATGTAAGGTATTTTGGCGTATGATTACTCGATTAAGTGCTTCACGCGTGCCAGTGTAATCGTTAAATGACAATTAATTTGCGTAGGGGGATTTTTAAATTTGTAATTTTTCATTGCGGCATCTTATTTAATTATATTGTGAAACACAATAATCGCTAGTATTATGTGATCTGTGATAACGGAAATTTCGGAGTTTAGAGAAGATTAAGAAGAAATACGAAATAGTAAATAAGTGAGGAAAAGTGGATTAAGTCATAGTATAAAAGTATCTAGTGGTGGAAAAAATTAGAGTGAGTTAAGCCAAAACTGTGCAGGTACTTCGTGTGTTCGTGAACCACCAATAGTGACTCTCGTGAACCAAAACCAGTAAATCTATAATGCAAAAGCGTACTTTGATTTTTCGATCCTAAAACTCATAGAATGTGACAATACTATTACCATGAGGGCTATTGAGGACTTTCTGGACCTTCTGAACTCTGGTTTCTGACATTCAAAATGAAAGCATTTCATGCATTTATCCTTTTTAGCACCACGAAACCTAATATTAAAATTGGCATTGAATATTTCAAAGAATTTTTAACTTATACATTTACTCCTTTGCTAGTCCGGTCTTTTTTATGAATGCAATATATCTATCTACATAAATAAAAATGAATGATGCTAAAAGCAAAACTCTAGAACGGCTCGACCAATTCAGCAAAAAATTTTTTTCGTATGTTTCTTAAGGCTCACGGAAAGTTTTAATAAAGAGAAAAAAATGTAAAATAAGGTAAATACATATATATGACAAAGTCGTGTTAGTTACACCATTTATAACTCAAGAAGAGCGGGACCAGTTTTTATGATATTTGAATTTTTGGATTTCTCTTAGTCCAGAATAGGATAATAAGTATTAAAACATCCGAAAAATTAACGAAAAAAATTTAATTTATATGGCTAACGCTGGCTAATAACTATTTATATCTATTTAAAACGTAGCTGGCGACGAACCCGAGCGAAGCGATGGTAAGCCGTTATTTTTTTTAATATTTTTTAAATTCAGTAGGAAGAATAGCTTCGTGCTAGTCTTACGACTATAATGCGATGGTATTGCACTTAAAACTTTTGATTAATAAAACTGATTTTTTTATAGC